ATGAGGTTGTATTTATCTACTTTTGAGAACTGCTAAGGACCAGATAATTTTTATGATGTCCTGATACGTAAAACCATAGAACTCAAAGAAGATGTACTTTCTTTTTCATATGACTATATACCACAACAGGTTGCTTATTGTCATGCTGATAATTCAAGTATCTCTCTGTGTGGTGATGGTATATAAAATTTTGTCTTGATTCAGCTACATTACAACTCTAAGATGTTAAAGACGGAATCGCCAAATGCGTCCCGAGGCTCATCTCTTCAAAGAACCTTTTCCAAAGAATCCAAATTGTATAGCATGAAAGATATTATTCCTCTTACCCATAGCAAGGCTAAAACCTTCCTTCCTCTTCAACCCCCACCTATTCCATCAGGTAAAAATTTCTCTTTTCAGTGTCTGTCTTTTAACTTTAGTTATCTTTTTGCCATTGTATAGAGTTCAATGTTTGATTGGTATCAATGTTGGATCAGTATCAGTATCAGCTTAATAAACCATTTTGTTTGATATTGTCATAAATTTTACGAGATAACTTTTCGGGATAAAAACTGCCTAGTACTTCTGATTATTTTCTTATTAGGGTTAGGGTCTATTTGACATTTGTGATCTGATATTTCACTAAGTCTTTTTTTTTTTTTCCAAACCTTTCAGCCAAAGGTAAAGGAAGTGGTGGTGTAAAGACAGCAAAGCTCTATGCTTGGGTTGCACTCCAGTCTTTGCCTGAGGAAATGGTGATTAGCCCTTGCCTGTTAGACTTTCTAGAAAAGGCTCTTGAAACAATACCTATAACTCCAATAGAAAGGAATTATACAGGTATCATACTTTTCTACCAAAGTTTTTATATCCTAATTTTTACTTTTGTAAAGTTATATGTAATCATTTTCTTGTTCTTTTAAAGCCATCAGCTCACAAGATGAAGATATTGGGCAATTTGATATGCAAGATCCCTTAGAAGAATCCACAGCTTCCTTAGTATCTTCATCAACATCAGCATACTCTTCTTTCCCTGTTGATGTAGTAGTATATGTAAGAGTTCAGGTGAGCATGAATGTCAACTTAGGTAATACCTTGAAGGCTGTTGTACTAAGAATAAAATTAATAGTTGTTGTTCGTACATATACAGAGATTTTGGTTGTCAGATGCTAAAATAATGAATTCTATTTTAAATTGGAACTTTTTTCATTAATCCCATAGTTTATATTTCATCTTTGTATGAGAAATATTATTGATACATTGTAAAGAAAAGTACTTGCTATGTCTGTTCACTTGCTTTACCTTGCTTTAAATTTTGCATTGTTTGATAATGAAGACTACATTAAGAATTTAGATGTTGTATTCTGTGTTCTTCCATGGAATCTAAAGCAGCTTTTAGTTTCACAAGTTCATGAAAGTAAGTTAAGCTGAGCTGTATTGATCTGCCCATAGTTTGGGACTGACTCTTGTAACCAAACGTAGAATTGAATGTTGCTTGGTTGTATTCCAGACCCAGCGGTCTAATCAGATGGGACAAATTAAAATTCAATGCTAAAACCTTTGCAGCTTATTGGCTCAAACTGCAGAGAGCCAGGAAATGGGAAACTCAGGCTTATGCTTTAATTAACAAAGATGTGCTGCTGAATAAATTCCATTTGATGTATTTAATTACATAGTTCTTCTCCATACTCTTGTTTGTGCTCCTTACATGACTTTCTTCAATGTCAGGGTCATAATTTCTTAACACAGCTTTTATGGACCCCTAAAAGTTTTGTTTTAAACATCCTGCAGAGGAACAATATGTTTCCCTATTTCCAATACTAGATCATGATCCGAAGACAATTACCTTCCATAACTCAGGATGCCTTCGGGCCCTTCCAATGTTGTTAAATTCCAGCTTATAGTTTAATAATGGAAGTTGATAGAATCAGGAATGAAGGATGTTCAGAACTGAATTCAATAACATCTAGAGGGTCCACACATTATTTATCCCTAGCATAACAAAAATTAACAGTACAGTGGTACCTCTAGTTACGAACGCCCCTCCTTACGAATTTTTCAAGATATGACCAG